GGGATTTTCCTGCCTCAGCCTCCTGAGTAGCTGGGATTACAGGCACACACCATCACACCTGGCTAATTTTCTGTATTTTTAGTAAAGACAGGGTTTCACCATGTCAGCCAGACTGGTCTCGAACTCCTGACCTTGTGATCCACCCACATCTTAGCCTCCCAAGTGCTGGGATTATAGGCATGAGCCACCATGCCCAGCCAGCCTGCTGCTTCTTTCAAAGGGTCTATGGATTCTTGTGGTTTTCCTGTTGAGTTTCTGTATTGCTCCTTGGAAAAAAGCTCACAGTGTGAATCTCTGTACACTATTCTGTCCTTCCCAGTGGGAGGGGGATGCTAACACTGCCTCCAACCTGCCATCTTCTGGATTTGTTTCCATAGCCCTATGCACTTTTGTCAGCAAGTTTTATATTAGGCTGTGCAATTTGACTTACAAGCCAGTAGATGGTGTTTATAGGTAAAAGCTGGCTGTGGCCAATGTGGCTAGGTATATACTTGATCCTTGTTTACCAAGAGAAACTCTTGTTGCCTCAGGCAATGGGGTGATCCATGGAGTGCACAGTAGTCTGAGCTCCCTGCATAACTCTGGGTGGGCAGGGGGCAAGATGGATCAGGACAGGTGCCCTGGTGTTGGGCACAAGCACCAGTGCTGAGGGAGGATCAAGTGAGTGGCCGTCAGGTACCCAGTGGTGTGCCTAGGCATGGAGCTGGGAAATTTCCCTGGCCCCTAGTTCTCTGCATAGGCAGAGGGACAGCCTAAACTCCTGATCAGGGGAGTGAGTTTGGGTGTTCCAGGTGCCTATAAGTCTGCCTGGGCTTGGGGTGCAAAGGGCCCTGCTATTCTACAGTCTCCGCAAAACAAAGGTTGGGTGGCTCAGGCTGGTAAGTTAGATAAGCAGGCCCTGCAACTGCCTGGAGATACGCCTGGGCATGGGGTGGAGAGGACCCTACTTCACCATGGTGTCTGCACAGGAAGGGCAAACTGGCTAAGTCTGCTGATTCAGGTGAGTGGGTGCTCTGAATGCCTGGAGATCTGCCTGGGCATGGAGTGGAACGGGCCCCACTGCACCATGATCTCTACAGGAAGGGTGTGGCAGCTCAGGCCACCAATCTGGGCAAGGAAGTGTGCCACATACCTGGAGATCTGTCTGGGCGTGGAGAGGGTCCCCCTGCACCAGGATTTCTGCAGAGGAGGGATAGGGACACTCAGGTTGCTAAACCAGGCAAGCAGGAGCTCTCAATGCCTGGAGACCTGCCTGAGCATGAAGCAGAGAGGGCCCCGCTCCTCCAGATCTCTACATAAGGGGTGGAGCAACTCAGACTATCAGTCCAAGTGAGCAGGTGCTTTGAATGTCTGGAGAATCTGCTTGGGTATGGAGCAGAAAGGGCCCTTTTGCACCACAATTTATGTACAGGAAGGATAGCATGGCTCAGGCTGCTGGTCCAGGCAAGTAGGTGCTCTGAATGCGTGGAGATCTGCCTAGGCGTGGAGTGGAGAGGGCCCCACTACATGATGATGCTACACAGGAAGGTTGGGGCAGCTCAGGCTGCCAGTCTAGGAAAGCATCTGCCTTTACTGCCTATAGTCCTGCCTGAGAGTGGAACAGAGAGGGCCCTGCTGCACCACGATCTCAGGAGAGCAGCCTGGTGCACACAGCAATGACACATGCAGACAGATTCTACATTGCTGAACTGGCCCTGGTTGCAAGTCTCATAGCCTAGGAGAAACTTTAGCTGTAGCAGCTCTCTTCTCCCACCCCAAGCCTGCAGTAGTGAAGAGCACAATTTCAGTGCCTACTGCTAGGGCATGTTACACAGTTCTGGCTGTGGAAGTCCCTACCCCACTCCAGAGCAAGTGCTCCAATCTCTCAGTCCCAGGTCTAGGAAATGCCTGTGGCTTTTTCTGGTGTCTTTTCCTCTTAGCACCTCCAAGCCCCTCCCCAAGATAGCTCTGGGGCTTGGGAGAAACATCATTCTCTGCCTTGGCCGGGGTTGGTTAGATCCCCCGTGGACAGGTAAATTACAGAGGGAGACTCTTTCTCTTTCGTGTACTGGGGCTTCACTCACTGTTTTTCAGCTGGATGGCATCACAGGGGCTGTTTGCCTGTGTGGTCCTCCCTAAGATCTGGATCATCCTTCATGATTCCAGTAGATTCCCATTTTCCTTCTTGAATTAAAGCTCAGAGAGTTGATCTTTTTGCACTATCTTGCTATTTCTAAGTGGCCGAGGCACACTAAAAGCCTGTAATCTACCATCTTGGAGCCACCCCCTGCCCCCCAGAAAAAGGTGTTGCGTTTTCATCTTCATTCACCACTGACTCTTTATGTTTCTTTACTGCTGTTTACAGAGAAGAAGAGAAGAAGTTTGGAATTGATCCCTTTGACTGCTCGAATGGTGATGGCCCACCTGGTGAACCACCTGGGGCACTACCCCCTCAGTGGGGGCCCTGCCATACTGCACAGCCTTGTCAGCGAGAACCACGACAATGCCCATGTAGAAGGCTCCGAGCTGTCCTCTGAGGTGTTCAGAAGCCCAAACCTGCAGCTGTTTGTATTTAACGAAAGTACCCTCATCTCCTACCTTCAGACACCCACAGAAGGACCGGCAGGTGGATCACCAGTGGGCTCTCTCTCTGATGTGAGAGTAATTGTGAGGGATATCTCAGGGAAGTACTCTTGGGATGGTAAGGTTTTATACGGACCTTTGGAAGGCTGCTTAGCACGCAGTGGAAGAAATCCTTCATTTCTGATTTCAGGCTGGCATCCTCACACATTTGGACCTCAGAAGGACTCTTCTCAAGTTGAGGAAGGAGATGATGTTCTTGACAAATTACTTGAAAACATTGGCCACACAAGTCCTGAATGCCTTTTACCATCACAGCTAAATCTAAATGAACCTTCCCTACCCCCATGTGGCATGAACTATGACCAAGAGAAGGAAATCATCGAGGTCATTTTGCGCCAAAATGCTCAGGAAGATGAGTGTGTCCAGAGTCATAACTTTGATTCTGCAATGAAAGTCACCAGCCAAGGGCAGCCATCCCCAGTGGAGCCCCGAGGACCCTTTTATTTCTGCAGGTTGTTGCTTGATGACTTGGGAATGAATTCTTGGGACAGAAGGTAACAATCCACATAGACCTCCAGCTATTTTATCATTATTTTCATGTAATTGTCCTTTCTGTCAGTTTGCAGTTGGGGAAGAAGAAAAGATTGGAAAGATTGGAGAAGAAGAGAGAATGGAGATTTTTCTCTGTTTTAACATTTGCAGCCTATTTTCTGCTACTAAATTAAAACTTGAAATGAAATTATGCTGTACTGTTACACAGATTGAATTCCAAACATCTGTTGCATATTTTAAAGGATATCAAGCAGAGAGAAAGTGAGAGAGAGAGAGAGAGAAAGAGAGCGTGTGTGTGTGTGTGTTTGTGTGTGTGTGTAATTACTGCTCTGTCCATTATTATTTCTGCCTTCATGCAAGATGCAAGTGAACTACAAAGGTGAATAAGCCACAGTCTAACCTTAGGTCTAATGTGGGAGGTAGATTTGATACAACTCTGATATAGGATGGAATGACACAGGAGTTCAAGAGTAATGATTAAATCCGATGGGAAGTACAGAGCAATGGAGAAGACTTTGTGGAAAGGGGTGGATTTGACCCTAATAGTGGAATGGAGTTTTTAAGAACAGAAGTGGAGAAAAGGGATTCACAGTAGAGCTGACACTGGAAACAGACACAGGAACATGCAAACAAGTCACACACTCACCAAAGAGCCATCTGTGTCACTGGTTAGTAATGGAATGCTGGAAGAATTTTTATACCTTTGTATGTCTTAAGGAAGATGGAGTTCATTCTGTAGGTTTCTATCACAAATCTTTTGTGAGTGAGGTCATAGAGGATGAATGGTAGGTATGTTTATTAAATAACTGATTGAAAAGCAGCAAAATGGTTCCATAATCACATGTTTTTTCTTCCATCCTTTTTTCTTTATAGGAAGAATTTTCATCTGTTGAAGAAAAATTCAAAATTATTGAGAGAGCTAAAAAATTTGGACTCCCGCCAGTGGTATGTAAAAGTATATCAGACTACTTTTTTCCTGTTTGTCTGTGGGTATGCTTAGATAACAGATACAACTGCAGAAATGAATGCACTTACTGAGACATCCAAGGGTAGTTCTGTAACCTAGCATCCAGTGACATTTGTGCACGCCATACCATTGGTGTTTTTTACTATAAGGAATAAACTTTCATGTTTGATACACTGAAAAGAGGTCACCACTCCCATCTAATCTGTACTTTTGATTATCTTTGTTTGTGGCTGCCAGTAGAAATTTATTCTCATTTGATCTCTGCAACCACCTCTTTTTGATGAAGAAAAAGTTTACCTAGGTTAAACAGCCTGTGGTTGCTCACACCGTATTATCTAAAGCCAAGTGAGTCTGACTTCAAAATCCATGCTGTATACCAAGGCACTACCATTCTGTACTTGTGGCTTCATAGTGTTGGAAAGGTTAAAACCAGCATGTTGTAATTAATAATTCTCTGTTAATAAGCCTCATTCTCCAAAGCTGATCAGACTCTCAGATCCAGCCCTGTTCTGTACTACTTCAGAAGCATTTCTAAAGATGATCTCAGAACTATGAAAAGTGTTTGATTTGGGGAATGTATGTTTCCAAAATCATCTAAGTCAAGAATAAGTATAGTAGTTGGTACGTAACAGATGTTTCAAAGTTTTGAAGAGAATAAGGTGCTTCCTTAATCTTTAGTTTTTAAACCAAACTCTTAAAAAAAAAAAAAACAAACCTTCTTTTCCTTTTATTCCCCTTAGAAATATCCTATATTCTGTCAGCTTTCATATGAAAATTCTGTCAGCTTTCATATGAAAAATTCAGGTTGTTTTCCTTAAGTTTATTTTTCAGCTCTTCACCCTATATTTTATTCACTACATTTTTCTTACTACTCATTAACTCATAAATTTTTAAATCTATTTTGACCTATATGTTTTTAGAGGGTGGTGCAGTTGCCGGCTGAGAAGTAAGAAGGAGGAAAGGAAATAACAGAGCCCAGCTTTATCTTTACAAAGTCGTGTCCTAGCATTTCAGATAATTACTAGAGCTCTTTATTCCATTCATTAAATCCTTCATTCATCCACTGTCATGATTCCCTTTTAAGGCATGAGCTTCTCCTGCCTGCACTTACAGTGATGGGTTATGGCCTGCTGAATTAATATTTTCACCATCGTGTGTGTTTCAGTGGCATTGTGATGGTTTTGTTGTTTATTTTAGAGTTTTGATCAAATCTCAAAGTGATACATGCTTACATTTTATTTTCAAGCAAACTCTTGGTTCATGTCACTATTATTTGCATATCACCTTCACAACTGTGATTCTCCTTTGGTGTTTTGAATTCTTGAATTGTGTATAGACCCAACTAATAAAGTCCAGTTGGAATTTTTTTTTAAACACTTAGAAGATTATATTTCAGAAAAGTCCATTGGTAATGTCATTAAGAACTGAGTAGATGAAATAATATTAAACTTACGGCTATGTATTGTTTCCATCCTTCAGAGGCATGTGGTATTAAGATGGATTTGTTTGTATTGATAAAAAGGGCATAAGTTTTGTCAGAATCAGAAGGGCATAAGTTTTCTTTTCTTTTATTCTTTTCTCTTCTTTACTCTTCTACTTTCCCACCTGTCTCTCTAGTTACTCAGGACCCCTAATTGCATCTCCATAGCTACACACATGTAAAGGCATGAACTATTTCATGTATGTTTCCAAGTCTTGAGAATGTGACAGGATGGCTGTTCGAACCTGAAGTACTCTTAGAAGGGAATATGAGGGCCTTTTCTCCTAGGTGGCTTTACTATTCTCTGGAGAGTGATAAATATTTCAGTATCAAGAAATATACAGACATTTTTTTAAAAACACAGAATTAAAATATTCATTTGTAGTTTTACCTGAGTAAAAGAGCCGTTCTCTGTCCAGAAGCCTGCTACAGCTCCATTGCCATTTTAAATGTCTTTGTTTCTTGATTTATTAGGTGAAACAGTATAAGATTTGAATTTGAGTAATTTTTAAAAGTCATTATGAAAAACCTGAACTGCCATTTCTCAGCTTACCCTTCACTGTATTCCATTTCCTGATTCTTCTTGTGATTCCTTTTCTCTAGAGGAACATAGATCAACTTCTCTATGGAAATTTTGTGAGGAATTTATTTTGAAGAACTCAGGGGTTCACGATCCTCTCCCTCCTTCCTTCAGTAATAAATAAGCAGTCATTTGGGTTCCACACTGAGCTTTTTAAGCATATGCTGAATTATTCCATGCTTCTCAGTATTAAGTGAATACTTGGTATCATGTAATTGCGGTCAATTTGTTGAGTGTTAATGCACTTTAGTTGCATGAGGTACAATTGATTAGCTCCCTGGGGTACTGTTGCAGCGAAATACAGCTTTGAATAACTGAGTGGCAGTCCCCTACCCCTTGATCAACCTTCACTTAAAACCCCAACTCCTGGATTTAGTGTCTTCTTGACATCAAACGGGTATCAACTTATTTTATGGTGAAGGGTATTTTCAAGGTTGTTTTTGAAGAAACTAGAAATAAGTCTGGGACTCTTCAGCTACGAGAAATCTAGACTGCCCTATATTTTGGTCAGGTAGCAGGTAAGAAAATACCTTGTCTGTCAACTTTCAGTCAGAACATTTCTGTTTAATTCTGATATCAATTTATCTCACTACTCTTGCTGCATATAGTTCCTTCTTAACATGTTCCCTGGAAAAGTTGAGGCCATCTTTCACTATGGTCTGGACACTGAAAATGCTATGATGAATGTACGTACAAATCACAGTGGCTTCCCTTTTAGATATAAATGCCCCCTTGCCACCACATGGGGAGGTGGATATTAAAATCATGCTTTTCTTTGGCTTTTTCATGTGACAGCACAAGGAAACTGAGCTATTCTGGTGTATTCCTAATAAGAAAGAACAGTGTATTCTAATGAGGAAAGGGAGATTGTTGATTTCATGTATGTGTGTTCCTGAATTACCTGCTCCTTCATGCACTGGTGTGCTTCTTATGGATGTGAAGTGCTGTTGAAGTTGCTAATTACCATTTCAAAAGCATGGCTCTAATAAAGCCGGACACAGCTTCTGCATCCTAGCAGGCTTTCTACGTACTAACATTTTGGAGGATGTGAAATTTGATGAATGTTTACAACTAAAGGTCATCTTTCCTCACACTCACATTGGTCAGCTCATCATTCAGGCTTAGCTCTCTTGTGCTCCCACCTTGAGTTAGTGAGGGCTCAAGGACTTAGGAACAGCTGCAATGGAAAAAGCTTAGATTTTTAAGGAGAATAAAAAAACATTTAGATAAACCTGAGATTTTTTTGTGTGTGTATGTAAAGTTGATAAAACAAAGAAAAATTAAATGCTGAGGATTTTTACATATGTGGAGAGACCTGCAGATAGAAACTGAATAACTATACTTCTCCACCTTTGTTGAAAGAGGCAGTCTTTTAGGTCATAGGTTGTGGTTTGTTATTATCCAAATGCCCAAATTTTTATAGCTCTTGGACTAAGCTAGTCAGATTCTAGGCTATTGATGTCCCCTGCCCATTCCTCAGGGCAGTGAATGGTGTGGCAATTTCAGGGCTTCCTTCTGTGTGAGGACAAGCTGTCTAAATTTATTTTAAGGACATATTAAAGATATTATAGCTGGGCATGGTGCTCAAGCCTATAAAGTCAACACTATGGGAGGCTGAGGCAGGTGATCACCTGAGATCAGGAGTTCAAGACCATCCTGGCCAACATAGCAAAGCCCTGTCTCTACAAAAAATACAAACAAAAATTAGCCAGGTATGGTGGCATGTGGTGACATGCATCTGTAGTCCCAGCTAGTGGGACAGCTGAGGCACAAGAATCATTTGAACACGGGAGGCAGAGGTTGCAGTGAGCTGAAATCATGCCACTGCACTCCAGCCTGGGTGATGAAGTGAGACTGTCTCAAAAAAAAAGATACTGCAAAAAGATTAAAAACATTAAAGATTATCTTTAAGGGTGTATTAAAGATAACGTGAAAATGTCTTTTAAAATGGAAGCAACCTAAATGAGGATTTGGGCTATGACATATTAATATAATGGAATGTTACAATCATTAAACCTTTGTTGTAGAAGCACATGATATAAACGTGTTCATACTAAAAAATGGTTGAAATGGTGAATTTTATGATATGTATATTTTACCATAATAAAAAGTGTTTGCAAATATTTTAAGTGAAAAAATCTGTTGTAAAGCAGAATGTGGTAACTTCTCATATATGCATGCAAAAGTGTATCCTAAAATGGTGTAGTGGCTATGTTCTTTGCTTATCTGTTGAAATTGCAAGTGATTTTTATTCTTCTCTTTTTTTTTCTGTATTTTCTAATTCTTCTTCTAAGTATGTTTATTACATATAAACTATGGGGGAAGTGAATAAGCTATCTAACTGAATAAAAGGAGAGAACTCTCTTCCTCCAGTTATTTGTATAAATTTTAATTGAAAGTCAATTAGTTCTGCTTATTAAGTAGAGAAATAACTCATGCAAAAGGAAATCTTAGAGAATTTGTTGAAATATGGAGCCCAATTCCACCAATATGATATCTAGTCAAATTACAATGTTGAAATATTAAACAACTTGACAGAAAAATATTTGTGTCTAAGTACTTTATAATTATTCCTAAGAGATTTATCAGAGTGCAGTGTAAAAAGAGGAAAAAGGTGGAACTGCTCTGGAAGTGGACATCAGAACTTTTAAAAACCCAAAACTCTTGGATGATTGGGCTAGGGAATGAATGATTCATAATTAAAGCTTCATTTGAATGAGAACAGTGTTTTCATCTCTAAACTATCACCAAATGCTTGGTATAGATCCTGGTATTTTGTCACCTTACTCCAGGGTATAATTTTTAGAAATTTGTTATTAATGCATTCAAATGTATCACCATATCTCTGCTCAGTGTAACAGAGATTTAACTGCGTACCTACTGTATGCAAAGGGATGTGCTAGATGTGCAAAAGAGAAAATGATAGGGCTTCCTTTTTCAAAGTGCACATCGTATTTTCTTGATTTAATACCAGAGAATCCAATATCTATCTGGAACAAGCAGATGAAGGATTTATATGGCTAAAAGGGGTTTCCCTGAATAGCTGTCCACCCTGTCAGGCACCCTCAGAACAGTCAGAGCACAGGAGTTGGTACACCCCTTCATGAAGATAATACCTAAGTGTCTTCTGCTTGGAAGGATATTCTTTTTCTCATAAGACCTTGGCATATTCTATAGTTCCAATTACAGAGCCACCCAGTAGCCTTAAAATGTAGAGTTAAATATGGACGGTCACAAAGATCTATTCACAATTTGTATAAATACTGTAAAAGATTTTTTTTTTTTTTACCAAAAACAGAGAACTTACCAAATGGCGTGCCCCAACATGCTGCTCAGTCAGTATATCTTATGTCTGAGGATGTGGTCTCAGAAAGCAGATGGCCTTGCCACAGTTCCCATCCCCTGCTTGCTGGGTGTGCTTTTTGTTACACTTTCTGTGCCTCCTTTCAACCACCCAGCTAGGGAGGTGATAAGAATACTCATTTCTTTAGCATGGTTGTGAAGAATAAATGAGACCATGTGTCAAACCATCTTAGAACAGTGACTGACCTCTAGCAGGTTCTCCAGTAAATGTAAACTCAGTGGTAGAAGTCATGCTGGTGGTATTAATAGTAGTGAGATAAAATTTTATATATAAGAATTCTAACTCCTTTAATTTAAAAATTTGTAGCCGTGAGACACACAAAATCGCAGTGTTTTACATTGCTGAAGGTCAAGAAGACAAGTGTTCAATCCTCTCTAATGAAAGAGGAAGCCAAGCATATGAAGACTTTGTTGCTGGACTTGGATGGGAGGTAATGCATTTCATTCAGTAGTATTTATTGACAGCACTGTTTAAAGATGTATCCAAACTAGACATTGTGTAAGTTTTTACATGAGCGTTTGCATTCAAATATAGCATAGGTAGAGTTCAGGAATTGAAGAACTTACTGAATTTGACATCTACTGTTAGTTGCTTGTCAGTATTTAATACATGAACTTTTGTTTACCCTTAACTTTCCTCTTAATATTTTTTCATTTGCTTTTTATCAGAACAATAGTCAGATGGGCTCTCCCAGCCATAGACAGTTTGTAGTAAGAGAAGACAAATGTGGGCAGAGAAGCAATGGCTTTGGCCACAGTATGGAGATTGAAGAAGAAATCAATGACTTGATGGGTGGAAAGATGAAGAAAGAGTTGGATGAAGTCAAAAGTTACAACGAAAATATAATATAATAGCCATGATGGTTTAGCTATCAACCTATTTCCCTAAGGTAGACCCCAGGATGATTGATGTTGAAAAAGTTATTTTTTTCTTTATTAAATTATACTCTGACATACAGACATATATACATTAATACAAACACACACACATATCACACATGCATATCTGTCTCCCAGGAACATAAATCTGAGGGAAAATATATTCCTAGAATCTGAAATCATTAGGAGTAGTTAAAATGGAAATCAACATGTCTAAAATAATTTGCTTATTTTTTATTAGTTTCTTGGGTACCTGTGCTCTGAAAAACTCTCTGGGTGCCTTTGAGAGCTCGGTGCAAGCAAGGGGACTGAGGTAATAAAGGGGACAGGGTAAGAGAACATCATAGTCAAAACGACGTACTTACTAAGAAGGCAAGTAGGTGTCAGTCCAATAGAGTTACTGCACTTCCAGGAAACTATTGTCTCCACCAGTAAGGCTACTTCTACTTTGTCATAGAATATATTTATTACTTAATGTATTTTAAGCCATACAGTATCAATTAGAGTTTTAAGAGTACGTGTTTACTATATTTGTCACAGAAGAGATTCTTCTATTTCTTTTTTCGTATGTGTTAGAATAGGTATTTTACTGAAAGAATACTAGTTTTTGACAAGTTAAAAATTTTGGATAAAGGCACTAAGAAGTGAACACTCATGCCATAACTTTAAAATGAATTATGACTCGTAAACTTTCAGCAGTGGTATAAAGTGGTTGTTCAACCCTTTTTTGAAAGGCAGTTTGTCAAGGATTGCTGAATTTTTTAAAATATCTGTACCTTTTGACCCAACATCTTAGAAAAACACTCCTTTGAGTGTGCTTTCTGATTTGAAGAAGCAGAAACCCCCACAAATCCATCAATAGGGAACCTATGTATACACACACATATATGCATATATACACATAAGTTTACACATACAGGTGGGGAAAAAAAAGTTAGAGAATATATACCAAAAGTTTGACAGTGGTTTTATTCAGTTGGTATGACTATAGAGCACTTTCATTTTTAATATTTTTTATTCCTTTAACATTTTAATCTGGTCTTACTTTGTATTACGTTTGTTTGTAATCAGAAAGAAAGATATAAAAATGAAAATAATTTATTTTTTTCTGAATCCACAGCCCTGCTTAGTTAAAGAACAGCTCATTTTTGATCCTCACTCTTTCTTCTTTGTGACCTTCGTCAGGTGGATCTCTCCACCCACTGTGGGTTCATGGGTGGCCTTCAGCGCAATGGCAGCACCGGGCAGACGGCCCCTTACTATGCTACCTCGACCGTGGAAGTGATTTTCCATGTTTCCACTCGAATGCCGTCAGACTCAGATGATTCCCTCACCAAAAAGGTAAGGAGTCTCCTCAGGCACCATTCTTAGCTGCCCTGGTTTGTAGGTGAGGCTCTCCTGGACGAGACAAATAACAGGGCAGAACACACATTGAGACAGTTTCCTCTGAACTCTACAATCCTGAGATTAAGGTTTCTGAAAAGGAAGGGTCTTAAATGTTGTTACCTCCCTCCCATTAATATTACCTAATGGAAAATGACATTTTTGATCTCCCAGATTGTCATAGGTCACAAAGTATGAGACCCCTGTTCTAGTGGAGCTCTGGGAAAGCAGTTGCTGCAGGGCGATTTGGCAGCATCTGTCAACATAAGTGCAGGTGTGCAGCTGCCCAGCAGCCCCACTGTTGCCCCTTACCTTTCATTCTTCAACTTGCCCTGTGGGCAGTTTTCTTTAGAATTCAAAGGGAACCTCATCTATCCCTGAGGAACCTCCAACCTGCAGGATGTTTGCTTCAGGCAACCCTGTGTTAAATGTGAGGAGGCCTGAGTAGAAGAAGTGTTTGACTCTGTAAGGAAGCCTCTAATTGGGTCGGCTTCTGTAAGCTTCCAGATGAGAAGAGCATCTCAGAGCAACCGTGATTTGCACTCACCTGGCCTTCTAGCAGGTGGGGAACCTAGAATCCCCACCTTACTGTCTCCCTACCACGTGGATGCAAGGGACTGAGGACATCACCTCATGTGCTGACTAAGGCCGGCCATTGGGGAGTCTACTGCGGTGGTTATAGCCAGGCCCTGGTGACAGGCGGACCAGGGATCAGATGTATATTAGTTATTTCATCAGCCTGTGCCTCAGTTTTTCTTCTACTAAGTGAGATTAAAAACACAGTCTATGTTACAGGGTTGTTGAGTGAGGTAAATGAGATAATTTCTGTAAAATTGCTTAGCACGGTACCTGGGAAGATGTCTCTGACCATCATCCCTCATCATTGCCCATTGGTCTAATTGATTCTTTTTTTCCCCCTGCCCCATTAGCCAGATGCTTTATATTGGCCAGTTGGCCTCACTGTACCTGCTTTATTTATTATGCGGTTTCGCTTTTTCACCAGTGCAGCCACAGACATCTGCACTATGTACAGACATACCTTGTTTCACTGTGCAGCACTTCATTGCACTTCACGGGTATTAAATTTTTTACAAATTAGAGATTTGTGGCAACACTGAATCAGTCTATCAGCACTATTTTTCTAACAGCAGGTGCACATGTGTGTCTCTGTCACATTTTGTAATTTTCACAATATTTCTAACTTTGTTGTTATTATATCTCATTCAGTGGTCTGTAATCAGTGGTCTTCGATGTTGCTATTGTAATTGTTTTGGGGCACCACAAACTCCCCATATAAGATGGCAAACTTAATTGATAAATGTTGGGTGTGTTCTGACTGCTCCACCCACTGGTCGTTCACCGTCTATCTTCCTCTCCTTGGACCTTCCTATTCCCTGAGCACAACAGTAGTGAAATTAGGCCAATTAATAACCCCGTAATAGCCTCAAAGTGTTCCAGTGAAAGGAAAGGTTGCATGTCTCTCACTTGAAATCAAAAGCTAGGAATGATTAAGTTTAGTGAGGAAGGCGTGTTGAAAGCTGAGCTACACCAAAAGCTAGGCCTCTTGCACCAAACATTTCCCCATTTTTGAACGTAAAGGAAAAGTTTTTGAAGGAAATTAAAGTGCTGCTCCAGTGAACACATGAATAATAAGAAAACGAAATAGCCTTATTGCTGATAACGGAGAAAGTTTTAGTGGTCTGAACAGATCAAACCAGCCACAGCATTCCTTTAAGCCAGAGCCCAATCCAGAGCAAGGCCTTAACACTTTTCAATTTTATGAAGGCCGAGAGAGGTGAGGAAGCTGGAGAAGAAAAGCTTGAAGCTTGCCAAGGTTGGTTCATGAAGTTTGAAAAGAAGCTGTCTCCATAAAATGAAAGTGCAAGGTGAAGCAGCAAGTGCTCATGTAGAAGCTGCAGCTTAGCCAGAAGACCTAGCTAAGATCAGGCATGGAGGTGGCTATCCTAAACAGCAGATTTCCGATGTAATAAAAACAGCCTTCTGCTGGAAGAAGATGCTATCTAGCACTTTCATAACTAGAGAAGAAAAGTTAATGCCGGATTTCAAAGCTTCAAAGGAACAGGCTGACTCGCTTGTTAAGGCTAATGCAGCTGGTGACTTTAAGTTGAAGCCAGTGCTCATTTACCATTCTTCAAATTCTAGGGCCCTTAAACATTAGGCTAAATCTACTCTGCCTGTGCTCTATAAATGGAACAACAAAACCAGGGTGGCAGCACATCTGTTTACACCATGGTTTACTGAAGATTTAAAGCCCACTGTTGAGACCTACCACTCAGAGTCAAAGATTTATTTCAAAGTATTACTCCTCATTGACAATATACCTTATCACCGAAGAGCTCTGATGGAGATGCAATGTTGTTTTTCATGCCTGCTAACACAATATCCATATTCTGCAACCCACAGATCTAGGAGTAATTTCAACTTTCGAGTCTTATTATTTAAAGAACTTGGCTATCACTGCCATAGATAGTGATTTCTCCAATGGATCTGGCAAAGAACATAGAAAACCCTCTAGAAAGGATTCACCACTCTAGATGCCATTAGGAACATTCGTGATTCATCGGGAAAGGTCAAGATACCAACATTCACAGTAGTTTGGATAAAGTAGAGTCCCACCCTCATGGATGACTTTAAAAGGTTTGAGACCTTAGTGGAGAAAAGTCACTGCACATGTAGCAGAAATAGCAAGAGAACTGGAAATAGAAGTAGAGACTAAAGATGTATCTGAATTACTCCAATGTCATGATAAAATTTTGACTGGACGAAGAGTTGCTTCTTATGAATAAGCAAAGAAAAGTGGTTTCTTGAGAAGGAATCTGTTCTCAGTGAATATGCTGTGAACACTGTTGAAATGACAACAGAGGACTTAGAATATTCTATAAACTTAGTTGGTAAAGCAGTGACAGGGTTTGAGAGGATTATTCCAATTTCGAAAGAGGTTCTACTGTGCTCAAAATGCTGTCAGACACCATCACACGCTCCAGGTAATTCTTCCATGAAAGGAAGAGTGAATCAATATGGCAATTTCATTGTCTTATTTTATGAAATTTCCACAGCCACCCCAGCCTTCAGTAACCACCACCCTGATCAGTCAGCAGCTACCAGCATCAAGGCAAAACCGTGTACCAGCAAAAAAATATTACAACTCACTGAAGACTCAGATAATCATTAGCATTTTTTAGCAATAAAAGATTTTTAAATTAATATATGTATGTTAAGAAATAATGCTATAGTGCATTTAGTAGACTATAGTAAATGTAAGTTTTATGCACACTGCTTTCCCAGTGCACACACAAGTTTGTGTGATTTGCTTTATTGCAATATTTGCAATATCTATATTTGCAATATTTAAAAAACACCTGTTGCAGATATGTCCAGAACCAAGCCTGTAATATCTCTGAGGTGTGCCTGTATATGATGGTCAGCAGTGCATGTGAAACATCAGAACTCGAGTCACGGCCCAATGACAGACAACTTTCATAGTGATCAAGTGTCTCAGACATACAAAACACATTTGCATTCAAAAACTCAGCAGCCTTTTCCTCTCCTACCCCAGCATGCTATAATGACTTCCTGGGGGTGGCAGTACTGCAGCCAGAAGAGCTGACCACGTGCTGGTTCCCACAGACCTTGGAGGAGCTGCCTCAGTGTTGGGTTTTGATGGCTGCCCTGGCCGTAGAGCTCTCAGGAAAGGGAACTCTGCCCTCCAAGAGTTCACCAGGATCTCAGAGTCTAATGTAGCTTACCAGGACCCTAAGCTGGGCTTACACATCTTTTTTATTTGCAGTACATTGTATATTGTTTCTGCTTTGCAAATGTGTCACCATATTCTATAATTTTCTTATGACTGAGAATTATTTTTTGAAAAGATAAAATTTCCATATAAAATTTTTTAAATTATTTCTTAAGTAAAGTAGAACTGTTTTTTTCTTTTTGAGAAAAGACATGTTATCTTGATAAGATGCCATGCTATAAATAATGTTCTAAGGCTTGGCCTGGTTTAAAGATTCCCTACTGTAATAATCAAAATTCAACTGATACCTTTTGCAGCTCTAAGATTTAGCATCATTAATGATAAACTCTCTTTATCAGATATCTCACAGCTAGACTAAAAATCAGTCACAGTAACAGCAGCCCACAGTTCCTTGTCTTATTCTAACTAAATTGTCCCTAACAGCTTAAAAATGAGCTGCAAAATTCTAAAGTGATTCATGCTCTCTTCTGCCCCTATCATGGGGGGACTTTTTCAATTCTGCAATCCGGTTGCAACCCCATACTGAACTCTTGATCCTTCACTGCAGAAATTTGTTAGCTCCAGCTAGATTAGATTTTTCACAGCTAATCTAACTGCTGTAGGGGTTTGCAGAGTGGGGACAGAGCTGTGCTATTGGATTTGTCCAATTCATTTGACTCCAGGACTATAATTGCACTTATGTCTTACAAGGCTTTTATAGCCTCAGGCTGGCCAGGCACATAAAAAACAAATTGGCAGTGATACAGTATGAGTGAAATGGGATGAAAGGCCCACATTATCAGTCTCCAGGCAGCGCTGTTCTGGCAGGAAGTTTCTTGGTTAATTTACAAATAAAACTTAGATTTTAGGATGGGCACACTGTCAGCTGAACAATGGGGATGTCAGGCCTGACTATTACTTAGTAAAAGTAGCAGCCGGGCCCACTGAGGAGCAGGAATTCTTCAATCAAACAGACGACTCCTTCTGGAGCCAGCTGGCGATGTAATGCAATTAGTCGGGAAAGGAGGTCAGCCTATTAGGTGTGTACCATGACCAGTGTCACCAGTGGCGTGCAGCCCGGCAGCAGCAACAGACAGAATAGCTTAGGCAAAGGGACTTTAAAACTCTGTTAGGACGAGAAATTGTGGGGCATGGGATTGATTTCTTAAGACTTAAAATCCGAGCATTTGTTCAGAGCCTGAAAAGTATCCAGGCATTCTGGAGCCTGTCGTGCAGTTGAAGGAGTAGCTGACATAAACACCGGCTCCATTCCAGGAAACTCATCGTTCTTCCCCAGTTACACAGGAGTCAGATCAGCCTGACTTGTGTGTACTCACTAAACTCACTGGTGGATTTCTAATTTGAGGGACTCTAATCACAGTTCTCCAATACTCACAAAATGATGTCTCTATGATAGACTCTTTTTTAAGTTGGCCAACACTTTGAGGTGTCCAGAGTATTCCATACGTTCTAACATGGTTGATATGTTAGATGAATTTTATTGACATGCCCAGATGAATTTTATTTATTTTACCTACCTGTTTTCTTATAGGCCAAAGAAGGCATATTTTTGCCCTTTGCTCCAGATTTATCAGCCAGGTGCTCCCACGGCCTTAGCTTTTAGTTTTGTGATTTAGCTAATTTAACTGTGACGTATCCAGAAGTCTGAGTCACGTGCCACTGAAAACAGCTTTGAGATGATGAATATCATATCATTACCACAAAGACAGCTCTTCCTTAATTACAGAATTGCCACACTGGGAGGTTGGGTCTATTAATGTGAAACTACCCTCCCTTTTGTAGTTCTGAGAATTCAGACGCAAGTAAAATTAAGAGAGACTTACTTAGGTTGTATTATTGAGTAACCCAATTTGAAATTGGAAAGTAACTACAAAATTTCAATAATCATGGTTAATGTTTTGCAACTAATATTTGTGGATCAAAAGGAACTATCGCAGAAACTAGAGTGCCAACATGGGGTAGTGGCAGCACGTTTGAGGGGTGTTTAGTAGGTGAGCTGTTTCCATTCAGACATTTGTGCAAGCATTATACCAAGGGACCCAGAGTCACCCTGAAGCTGGCTGTCTTTGCAGGGTGAGGGCTGTAGGTGTGAGGTCTGGGACTGCCCCATTTCTCACAATTACCTTCTGCAGGTCTAAATTCCCCCTACAGTTCCAGTTAGATACTATTCATATTTCCCTGAAAACATACCTGTATTAGGTTTTGGTGATGCTGGCTACCACGTTTTCACTCCAAAAGAACTGAATTTTAGGAGTGCATTGTAATGTCTTTGCATGTTTTATTAAAAAGGAAAAAGGAAAAGAAAAGCTATAGCAAAGATAGGAATGGAGAAGTGTAGAGAGATGTTCAGCACTACTGGAAGGCCCGGTGTTGTATTTTGTTTAAAACTATTTATATAAAGGGTTTGCTATACGTTTTGCCGCTATTCTTTTACCTTTATATTGGAAGAGGGAAGGAAAAAATGATGTACTGGGTAATTTTGCTTTTAGAAAGTTGTAGATGCCATTAAATTGTTCTGGATCATTGTGACTTGTGCTCAGCGCCCACAGTTGCATTTGTCCCAGAGACCACATTCAGACACAGTTGAATCATGCATCCCTCAGTATAGGTACAATGGCACAGGCACAGGTCCCTTTTTAAATAATTGGCCTGTACAGTCGTTCCCAGAAGTATGAGAGAGTGAAGAATAAACAGGCCTTGCAGCAAATGAGCTTCCTTTTGTAACCTTACAAATGGAAAAAAAGGCTATGTTGGGGTTGCCTCAGATTTTCTTTTTGTGGTCAAATAGTCTAAAGAAAACTATATTTATGCTAACATGTTTTAAATACATAGTATTCCAGAAAATCTTTTTTAAAAATACTTTAAGACAAAACTAAAAACATTAGATTTGACATGTCTCTATTTTATTAAACTGCTTCTGAATTTAGTCATTTTTAATGTTCATCTGTTAGATAAGGAAGCAAGAAATACTTATTCATGGTGCCAGAGAGCATCCTTCTGCTGTTCCATGTGAGAGAATGAGAATCTCGAATTCCCAGAAGGTGTCAGAGGGCCTCACCAGCCTTTGTGGTTTCAGAACTTCAGTTCTGGTCAACCTTTTAATCATTTTTTTTTTTTCAGACGGAGCTTCGCTCTTGTTACCCAGGCTGCAGTGCAATGGCGCGATCTCAGCTCACTGCAACCTCTGCCTCCTGGGTTCAGGCAATTCTCCTGCCTCAGCCTCCTAAGTAGCTGGGATTACAGGCACACGCCACCATGCCCAGCTAATTTTTTGTATCTTTAGTAGAGACGGGGTTTCACCATGTTGACCAGGATGGTCTCGATCTCTTGACCTCGTAATCCACTCGCCTCGGCCTCCCAAAGTGCTGGGATTACAGGTGTGAGGCACCACACCCAGCCCAACATTTTAATCTTTATAATCTAGTTTCTTCTAGTCACACTTTGATACTTTGTCACTTAAATGATTTTGTATGCAGCTTTCTCCATCTTGAGGTGGCATAGTCATCGTGCAGGAGATTTATCAAGGGCGTTCTTACACCTGACAGAGCCTAGGCCTGGAAGAACTTTCAAGGGGTCTGGTTTTGGAGATCCTTCTAGTAAGGCCTCCTCAAAGAGGCCAGGGGTCTGTGATTTGCTTTTGTTCTTTACAGCCTCTTTGTATATAAGATGATGAAACAAGTGGGCTACACTACTGAACAATAACAATAAAGTAACTTTGGGTGCAGGCTTAGGTAGCCTTGAAACAGTGGAAATTGCCCTGAGTTGGAAGCCCCAGTGCATGTCCCCAGGCCCACTTTGCCACTGCTGCTCAGGCATCCTCAGGTAGGTGGTGCCTTCACTTTCCTGATTGCCTATTTCCTTTTTGTACAATAAGATGAAGATGATGTCATCTACCTTAGAGAGTTAGTGGGAAGATTAAGGGAGACAATATGTGTGAACATGCTTTCTATACCGTAAGCACTCTTTAAATGCTAAGTAGGAGTGTTATCAGACTTAAGCAATAGTTATTCATTTCCTAAGCAAAGGTAATTTTATACATCCTTTTCTTAAAGGTTTGTTACAAATCTAGTTTCTTATACATTTGGTAACAATTGTGTTGTAATGGCTTATGTTCTCTTGTTCATATTCTTATTTTCATAATAACCATTGAATTACGAGTCTCATAAAGGACAACTGCAATGTGAAATAAAAGACATGTTAATAATTGTTTAGAAACATATTCACCAATACAAAGCATAGGACTCTGATGCAGGAGTAAAATTCTGTTTTTTACAGAAATAAATTCTTACAAAGGCCTCAGCCCCATCCAGTCGTAATGTGCCTACGAAGCTTGCTTGCCTTACCTTGGTACCAATGACAGGCTATGTTTTTATATACTTGTGCTTTTTAAAATCCTCATAGAAGACATCAGTGTTGTAGCATTTTTTGGTAGTGAATTCTTTTGGCCTTTGAGTTTTATAATTCAATTTGTAAGCCACGACCCCTCATAAACTGCTGTTATCACCCTGATTAATAAAGAGCCAATTTGCTGTTGCAGCTTCGTCACTTGGGGAATGACGAAGTCCATATCGTCTGGTCTGAACACTCCAGAGACTACCGCAGAGGTATTATCCCAACTGCCTTTGGAGATGTTTCAATCATTATTTACCCAATGAAGAATCACATGTTCTTCATCGCAATAACGAAGAAACCTGAGGTATGTTTTCATTGCATTGTTACACTGACTCATACAGCATTTGCCATGTAATTCACTGACACTGACAATCAGTAATTTAAGTATGTTAAAGGGGACTCTCATCCAATTGTTGAATGTCTTTATGTGCTATATTGCAATTAAATATGAATTGGGATTTTCATAGAATTTTTCATCATGAGCACAAAATTTTATTATCGTATTACTAGGTCTTTTTGGAAATTATAATGTCAAATTTATTCGTTTGTAAATGTTTTAAGTTTCCTAAATTTTGTACTTTTGAAAAATTATAACTTGAAATTTTGGGCATGTTGATTAATAATAAGAGTTGAAGAAACCCCATATCACGTCTAGCATTTTGTGGAGAACTGTGGGTATAGAATCCAACCTTGCCTGGTATACGGGTGCTTGCTGAGCCTGTGACTGTGCTAATGGGGTCAGTCCTGCATGATTGCAGGCATGTCCATGAAGAGGCCAAGCCTCTGGAGCACAGCCCACGTGATGAGTTTCAACAATTGGAGCACCTTGCTGCAGAATCAATTCAGCCATGTCAATTGGTATTGATCATGGGAAGAGCTGGAACAATCCAATGAGCTGTGTGCTGTATAATAAATTGGCTGCAGTTTCGATCCTTTTCATACCTTTAGTGGTGTTTTAGCCATGCTTTATGTAGTGACTGGTTTTTGTTTTAGAATTACTAATAGAAGGTTGTTTTTAAAGTTTTTAAACATTAGTATATTAAGCCATTCCTCAAGAGGAATGATTTTGTGTTTTTCAGCTTGATAATAATTATAATCTTCATTTTCATTTCAAGTTGGTTTCCTGAAGGAGCTGAAAGTTACCCTTCTGAAAACTCTCTTTTAAAGCTTTGAAATAATAGGCAACAGATTTATTGTTCATATTGGGATTTTGACCTGATCTAAAGGGTTAAAGTTGTTAGGATTAAATGAGCTAATAAATAGAAAGTGCTTCAAACAGTGCCTGGTCCAGAGTAAAAGCTACTTAAGTGTTAGCTGGTATTATTATTATTATTGTTGTTATTTTTTGTTGTTACTACTTGGAGAGAGAATACTTAATGAATTCCAAGTTTAACATGCTTATTATTCTCTGAATAAATGCAGTGTGGGTCAACTCCTGAATTCATAAAAGTCCCATTCTGGCTGTTGCAAAGCCTGACATAAAGGGAACCCTCTTTTCTATTCAGGGAACGCAGATGCCAAAAGTAGCTTCATATTAAATATTTGCATCATTTTTGATTCTGATCTCCATGTGCATGAAATTTTCAGTTTTGTGTATGAAAATGGCTCTGAGTGCTAACATTTGTATTTGTCCATGAAGAGCAGTACTTTAAAGAATTAAACTGAAAATTTTAATATTAGGGAACCAGTGAATTTAGTGTCTTGTAGATTTCAAAAATAGGAAATGTGTTTCTTTAATATTTAGTATGGAGTAATTGGCTTTATTAGCTCATTTTCAACATGGTCCTCTAAAATGTCATTTATTGTCCTAAAAAGCCACTTTTATTTTTAAAGTAAATAAAGAGCATACAAGGCATTTTAATTCACTTTATAGAATCAAAGTGATTTTTTCAAAGATAGTACACTTATAATACATGAAAATAATTATTAACATACCTTGTAAGCTTTCTTACAAAATGTTTGTACATTTTATGAATTTGGTTATAAATTCTGACAAGATGAATTGAGTAAATTGCTTTCTTAATATTTTAATTCAAAAAGCCTAAAAGGAAGAAGAGAATAATGGCCAACTGGAAATTTAGTATTATCCTTACATTTAAAGTACAAACCATTACAATGTAATAAAATTAATCCAGACATTTCCAGGGCAAGTGTGGCTGACCTTTTGTTCACCAACCACTGACCCCAGGGTGAATGCAAGAGGCTTGCGGAGGGAAAGTCTGTTTGTTTGGCTTCAGTCCCTGGTATTTAAATTGCATTCCCTAATCAAATGAAAAGGCTGTCCTCTCTATCAGGTTACAGAATCCATGGCAACATTTGGCCTTTTATATCCATAATGTTAGCCTTTTTGTTTGCATCTAAGTAGAGACACCTGGAGCAATGTTAACATTAACCGATTTAGCATTAATAGCTTCATTATATAAGAATTTCTGATCAGATAGCTGTTACTTTTGTTATATTGCTTCAGCTTGTATTGTTGTCATTTTTTATCTCCCTGCTTGGCAACCAGGCAATGATTTGCAAATTTTTTTTGTCTTGATTAATTAAGCAATATAATTATCAGTAACCGTGATGCAGTCTTTGCTCAACAAAGCTTCTGAGAGAAAACAATGGTAAGTCTGTTAGTATGAATGCATTCCACGCGTCCCAGATGCATGAGGATATTATGGACAATGAGGGGAAAGGCCGCCTGTGAGCGAGGACAAAGGGTGCCACGCAGACTCGACACACTGCACATACCGCCAGGGACATGCTGCGGGCTCCCTGGGACACAGACGCCTCGTTAGATTACAGCTAGTCAGCAGAGATTAATTCTTAGCCATTTGGTGCAGTAATTTACCCATTCCCCAGCCTTTTAACTAGTGCTTCTTACTGTGGAAGGGAAGGCTTTGTACTCATAAGGTTTATTTAACCTTGCCCACTTTTAGGGATCTCCACCAAAATCATTATTTTTTTTTCTTAGAAATTGTAATGACACAGCTGCTTGAAGTTAAGGAATATTCCTTTTGGAGGACAGGATATGTATAAGTTTCTGAAAATGTAGGTAGATCAAAGGTATTCTTTTAGCACCTGTATATTTCATCTGAACATAGTATGACTCTGTAGTCTAAGTACATTTATTTTACTGTTCTCTGGGCAGCCATACTTCTCTAAGAATAATTTTAATCCTTTTTTGGGAGGAAAAAAAAACCTCATCAGTACACAAAAGTCTTGCTCATTGGATAGAGTCATGCATATTCAAATTGTACTTTCATTCACTTGGCCTCATTAATAGCGTATGTAATAATGTAGGGCTATTTGTAATACAAGCTTACAGGCAGCATTGCTTCCAAGTCCTTTGAAATTTAACATATTTCGCTTTTTCATTCCATACACCTCCCTTAAATATACAAATTATGTGCCTGGCAGAATCCGCCTCCTCTTAATAATACACAGCATTTGTGAATGGTATGTTGAAGAAGTGTGGGTGTGCTTGTGTGAGAGCATAAAACCCTCTCATCTCAGAGGGCCTGTTCACTTCTTGAGCTTTGTATTGAACTCCTTTTTTTCACTAAATTAAAAAAAAAAAATCAGTGTGCTTAGCAGCATCATTTCATTGTTAAATTACTTTCGAAATAAGTCCATCTCCACAAATATTGACACAATAGTTCTTTGGCTATAGAAAAGAAATGTGTTATTGTTAGACTTATGTTTTTTCCAGCTTTTATTACTAAGTCAGCAGTCAAGGAAAGACTTGCATATAGAGCAGAATGTGAGTAATTCAAAGGGTTTGTTAAAATGCCCGATTTGTTCTTCAGAAACGTAATTCATAGAGCCTCCACACTGTAGTGAGTACCCACACTGCTTTCCCTCCCTTTCAGTATCTGGAAAGTAATACTGGTGGTCAAAGTGTTTGCCTTTAGAAATTTTTGAAGGTAAGTTTTAGTGGTTTGGGCAAGTTTGTTTCCAGGCATAGTAGTGATTGATAGTGACCAGTTACCAGAGGATAGATGTTCAGAAGCAGCCTTGAGCAGGAGCAGTTGAGACAAGAGGAAGTTTTGGTGAAGCGTCCTCCTGTTCACCTCAACCAGAGTGTCCCTTTTGTAAATGGGCAACATGCTAATGTCCTCTGAACTCTACTTACTCAGCCCTGGTACATATGGGCATGGAGAAAAAAATGATAATGATTTAGTCATTTCTGAAAAGCATAGGAGGGAAAGAGTAATAAGACAGGCAATGGGACACCAGAGTTCCAGTTCTAAGCCTACCACATGCTGGTAGGTGTCTTGGGCAGATCTTTCCGTTTCTTTGAACCTTAGCTTCCTCAGCTGTGAAGTGCTGGTTGAGAACCAAGGCTTCTCTGTAGTCCTTTCAGGGATTCTATATGCCTTTTTTGGGCTCCTCTTGTTCCTAGGTGCCTGTACATGATGAATCCTGACTATCAAGTTTCAGCATCATTTGTGAGTGTGTGTGTGTGTGTGTGTGTGTGTGAGAGAGAGAGGGAGAGAGAGAGAGAGAGAGAGAGAGAGAGAGAGAGAGAGTGTGTGTGTGTGTGTGTGTGTGTGTGTGTGTGTGTTCCTACATCCCTTTTCAGGGTGACATCTAGCCCAGGACCTATGCCTGGAACAGGTGCCCAGAAATGCTGGGAAAGGCTGATATGCCAGAAGTTACAAGAGCATTTGTACATGGGAGGCTGAAAGGAGCCTAGGATTGGCATTGAGTTTGACAGGAAATCTTTTAAGCGTACTAGTTTGGCCTCACAGTATAGGGAGTGTGTTTGACTTTGTAACATGGTTATGTAAATTTCTTTCTTTTTATTTATTTGTGCAGTTTTCTTAAATATTTATCCTAGTCTCAACCAACTAACCTGTTTAAGAGTAAATCATGCCCTTTAAAATACTCTGGGAAATTCCCAGAGAAAGTATATTGGTAACCTTTGAATTTACAAAGAATTATTTATTTGGAAAAGATCATTGAAAATACCAAACAACCAGAATGTACTAAAATATGTATTAAATGGATTACTACATTATGTTCTGTTTGGATAATTTGTTATTATTGTTATCGGCATTATTTTTAGTAAAGGAATGACATTGAGAACTATGTGAAAAGGCATCTGTCATTTGCAGATGTTAAATTAAAATCAAATTTCTTCTCTAATTCATTCCACTTCTAATTAGAGGAATTCCCTGGATACAAGGATTTGTATTATTCCTTTTGTTCAGTTTTTGAAAGACTGAGTCACCCACGAGCAGTTGCTAAAGAATACTAAAGAACATTTATTTATACAATAAGCCATGCTGCAGATGGAAGAAAATCTATAGC